CATACAAGGTCTGTAATTGAACATTAGAAGTATATACTGTGTTATGGGTCTCTTCACATCCTCATCTTTATCCATTTTTGCTCATAGACGCCGCTTATGGATGAGCCGGTGTTCATTCATCCAAATTCTGCGTTGTTCAAAACGCTGCCAGAGTTTGTGGTCTACCAGGAGGTCATGGAGACCAGCAAGATGTACATGAGAGGTAAATGAGACTGAAAGGGAATAAAATCACATGTGTCCTCTTAATTCATGTAGAACTGACTGCCCGGATGTGTCTGATTCCTACGTGTGTGACAACTTTTTATAGTTGAATATATAAAAGGGACTACCTTGTGATTAAAAGGTTGTTACTGCATAAATCTGCAGGTCCATCTTTTATAGTCTGTGGCACAGTCCTGATTGTATGGCTGCTTACATGCTTGTTTTTAATCATTTTTACCTATTTTCTAAATATCTTCCTTCTTTAATCCCTAATTAAAGGACAATAAAGTGGTGCTGGGTTACTGAAACAAGATTTGCAGACTGATGCCTTTCCTTTATTCCTGTCAGGTGTTTCAGCTGTTGAAGCAGAGTGGGTCCCACAGTTTCTCCCGCAGTACTGTCACTTTGGCTCTCCGCTAGAGTCACCGTCCCCGTGGTTCTGTTCTTCTACCGGCACCATCAGATGCCACCGTTCAAGCACCTTCTGTGAGTTCTCCATAGCCGAGCACTAGAGCTGAAACCGCTTTCTGCCTACAGTGGATTAACTGCTGTGTTCCTCCTGTAGTCCGTGTGGGTTGGCAGTTGCCTGCAGTGGAGATGGAGTATCCAGAGGGCCTGGAGCGCTACAAGCTGTTTGCCAAGTTTCTTCTGGAGGGACAGGTATTGGTTTTTGCTTATCCTGAGCAATCCTTCCTGTAGTTCATCCATCCATTTTCTTCCGCTTATCCGGGGCCGGGTCGCGAGGGCAGCAGCCTAAGTAGAGAAGCCAGACATCTCCCCCGCCACCTCCTCCAGCTTATCCGGCGGAACACCAAGGCGTTCCCAGGCTAGCCGAGAGATATAATCTCTCCTGGTTCTGCCCGGTTTCGTCCTCCTGGTGGGACATGCTTTACTCTGAACCCCTCCCAGATGGCTGAACTCCTCAGCATATCTCTAAGAGGGAGGCCGGCCACCCTTCTAAGAAAGCTAATTTCTGCCGCTTGTATCCACAATCTCGTTCTTTCAGTCACTACCCAAAGTTTGTGATCATAGGTGAGGATAGGGACGTAAATCCATTTGGTTTGCATAATTATCCTTGTGACAAAAACAGTAATAGATAAATTAAAAACACGGGAAACCTTGCAAGAGCTGCACAATTAATAAACCTGACAGGAGCAGTTATCTCACTCACTGTAATGTGTACTTTGTATGGTTAACAGGTTTGTCCTGCACTAAAGAAACACAGCAGTCACCTGCTCTCAAACCCCTCCATCATGCTGAAAACATGGGCAAAGTAAGTTGGTGCTCTCACACACTTTTAATCCCTTTTTACTGCATTTCCTAATTCATTTACTCCATAAACCAGCGCATCTCGAGGAGTTTTTTTTCCCCTCTTACTGTCATGTCTTTGCTGTTTTTAGGTTGCAGCCCAGGACAGAGGCTTTCCTGGGAGTACTGGTGTCAAAGAAAGTTGACTGCAGAGATGCACTCCACTCTGTCTGGAAGACTGAAGAGAAATGTAAGCATTAATGTTGTTAGTTTGCTTCTGATTTGGTTAGTTGTTTTGTCATCTAATTGTAGAATTTTTTTTCTCCTCCTCCAGTTCTGCTTACTGCATACTGCCAGTGGTTACCTGAATCTGTGCACCAGGAAGTAGCTAAAAGTTGGCCTCCTCTATAAAAGCCTGCGTCTAAACAACCGAGATAATACAACAGACTCTTGACCGGAGACATCACATGGAGCTACATTTTGGCAGAGCCTAAATCTTTTGACTGTGGTGTCTGTTTTTTATGGTTAATCAAAGGGTGTTTACAATATCACAACACTGCCTTAGTATTACTTTTATATTTTATTTACTGTACCACTTGTAAAGAAGATATACAGGCACAGTTGAAATGTCTTTTAACTTGTAATCAGTGTGCTGCTGTTTATGTATGTCTGATTTGGTCTTCATAAGACTTATAAACACTGACTGTGAGAGGCTGGCATTTGACCTTTTTTCATGCTTATTAATACGTGTGCTTGAAGGTTAAAGGTCAACTGAACCAATTTTGCACTGTATGGCATTTTATTTGTCATGAGGATTATTACCAGCTTATGAAGAAAATAAGACTTGATGTCAGCTTGGGCTACTCTAACTCTAGGATGGAGTCAGAGTCAACAAACTGTTAAAGCAAGTGGATGTTTACTGGGTGGGAGTGGTTGAGAATGAAAGCTCTGAATAAGCTGTGTTAAATAACTTGAAAAAAAGAGCACTACCAGGGGTGGATCTAGAAGGGTGGCGTGGGGTGGCATGTGCCACCCTAAAATGTTCCCTTGCCACCTTAACTGCCACCCTAGTTTTGTATATGACAGTGTTTATTAAAATAAGACAACATTAACACTTTGAGCCTAGCTACAGTTAACCCTGAATATAAATTCTAAAACTGAATATATTGCATAGTGTTACCCTCCTCCCACTCACCATTAACAAATGGTTCAGCCCAAAGTGCAGACCGGCTTTTTTTCTTGTTGTCAGTAGGAAGCGATGCCTATGACTGTGCCAGAGCACATTTTAAATCAACACCATGGGCATTTCAGATTTTACACACAAAAAAAAACAACAGTGTGAAACTTAATAATAATAATAATAATAATGGATTGGATTTATATAGTGCTTTTCAAGGCACCCAAAGCACTTTACAATGCCACTATTCATTCACTCTCACATTCACACACTGGTGGAGGCAAGCTACGGTTGTAGCCACAGCTGCCCTGGGGCAGACTGACAGAATCATATCGGGCCATCGGCCCCTCTGGCCAACACCAGTAGGCGGTAGGGTAAAGTGTCTTGCCCAAGGACACAACGACCAGGACAGAGAGCCCGGGGATCGAACTTAAGTAAGACTTGTGTTTGTGTTGCTTTCTGGATTTTATACTTATTGAGCTACATATTTATTAATTATGCAGGCTATAAAGTACATAAATGATAAATGGCCTGTATTTGTATAGCGCTTTTACTAGTCCCGCCTAGGGACCCCAAAGTGCTTTACACACCCAGTCATCCACCCATTCACACACTGGTGGAGGCAAGCTACGGTTGTAGCCACAGCTGCCCTGGGGCAGACTGACAGAAGCGAGGCTGCCATATCGCACCATCGACCCTTCTGGCCAACACCAGTAGGCAAGTAGGTGAAGTGTCTTGCCCAAGGACACAACGACCGAGACTGTCCGAGCCGGGGCTCGAACCAGCAACCTTCCGATTACAAGGCGAACTCCTAACTCTTGAGCCACGGTCGTCCCACATAACATCAAAATTCACATATTTTATGTAATGGAAATCTTCAACTATGTGGGCTACAGAAAATAATTAAGTTATAGACGATATTTATATGAAATATATGTATACTTAGTGCATTTGAATCATTTTAACCATATGTAACACCTGCATATGTTTTTTTAAAGGCTTTGATTTTGCCACCCCATTTGATTTCCATGCTACCCTAACAAAATTTCTCTCACTCTGAGTGCTACAGATGTGATGTTTGCTTAGAGAGTGTTGATGGAGAAGTATAAAGAAGGTCAGGAGTTGCATTGTGTCAGTTGTGCATTGTGTGTGTGGAGCCGAGAGAAAGCATAAGGAACTGTAGTCAGGTATACCAGAGAACTACGTGAGGGTGGAGCAGGACATGTATGAAGGCAGTGAGACAGTTTTGAAGGTCTTTGTAATAGTTACAAAGTAGCACAGGAACAGAGCCGGAGGGAGAAAGAGAGCCAGGGACAACAATCATCCACAACTATTTTCAGTTGTGGATGATAAAGGATTCAGAAAGTTTATTCATGCATGCCCATATGACAGAGAATATGCATCTTCTTTTTGTTTTCATATTTTAATTTATATTTAATTGTGTTGTGGTTTGAAGAGTTTTGTGTTGTTTCACTTTAAATTTGTTTAATAAAAGGAAAAAGCTGGAAATTTAAATAGTTAAAAGTTGAAATGTGAATAGCTGGTTTTTGTATTATATGGTTTATTTATTACATTTTATGTGGAGTGAATAAATAAAAGTATTTTTACGGTGGCCCCTAGAGGCAAAGCACGTACAAACTTCAAAACACGTATGAACTCTGAAGGACGTAAAAACTGCTCCAGTGCTCCAGAATGCTAGGCGCAGTGTTGAGCTTTTGTTACCTAGTGGCTACACAAGCCAGCAAGTACCAATGACCTGATTTGGTGTGTGGTAATAACAGGTAAATGAACTTTTTTTTAAAAAATTATTTGAATATATATGAGTGCTTGTGTATAAATACACAAACCATACACATATCGTTAGCTTCATAGCATAAGTGCCTAAGTCATTTTTTGGTCAAATTGAGATTTTTGCCTAACTTTACTCCCCTACCACTGCTGCATCATCCTGTCCGTCTGCCTATGTCATCACAAAAAAATGACTTAGGCACTTATGCTATGAAGCTAACGATATGCTTTCAATTGTGTAATTTAAGTGATCTAGATAGCTCTGTTTTGGACGTTCAGTTAACTCTAGGAATGTGTTTTGGAGTTTGTACGTGCTTTTTGGAGTTTGTATGTGCTTTGTCTCTAGGGGCCACCACATATATTTATATATAAACATATATAAATAAAACCACTTTTTTTTTTTACATTAGTAATTCCTTTTGTGCATAATTTTATATTATTGTTAATAATAAATTAATTAATGCAACAAAACAACCTGAAGAGCCGGTTGGGAGCCGAAAGAGCCGGCTCTTTTTAGTGAGCCAAAACGAAAGAGCCGGTTCTCTAAAAAGATCCGGAAATCCCATCACTAGTGGCCTTTCGCACATGCGTGGTACCGATCGGGTTTCCGGTACGGATCTGGCAGTGACTACAATTTCAGTTGTTTACAACGTTGGAAATTGTAAATTTTTCTGTAAATTAGAAAACTGAAGCAAACATCATTAAGCGGGCGTTTAGCAGCGAGGAACAGAAACAGTCAACATGGTGAGCACTGTGGTTTTTCTCGCCGGTGACGTTGTATCAAAACAAATCGTAGTTGCTCCAGTTTTAGTTAGCTAGCGGCTAGCAACAGGACTACAGCACAGCATAAAGATTCCCTGTCCTGAACAATTAAATTGTCATCTATTTGCTCTGAAGTATACACGTTACCTGAGTTTGACTGACAATCCTGATGTTTGTTCCACAGTTTTCCTTCCATGTGTTTGACCACCAGTTGGCCCGGGGCTTTCAGAACCGCTTCTCCACTCAGTACCGATGCTATTCGGTGTCCATGCTGGCTGGACCCAACGACCGCTCCGATGTTGAGAAAGGAGGCAAAAGTGAGTCTCGTTAAAAGAATGGTCATGTTGGTTCAGACAGTCACTCAGTTCAAGGTTTCTGAACAAAAGATATTGAAGTACAGTATTTTCTCCCATACCACTCGTTCAAATCAAAGTATGTATGGGTGAAGAATTAAATGAAGACCTTAATCTTTGACCTTTGCAAATACAGGATCTGGTGATTCTGTTTTGCTTGTTGGCATAGTTTGGGTCCACTGTTGCTTTTTAGAGTGAAAGGTCACTAGAAACCAATACAGAGTTGCTCTGACTGATCACTTTTATCTTGTGATCAAACATTTTAATCCTGATGGGAGAAAATGAAACTCCCATTCTTAATCCTCAAGAGGGCACTATGAACATGTTGTTTTAGTTCAGTATGCTAGACAGTGCTCTCCACCATCAATATTAAAATATCAAAAAAGGGAATGTGTTTTGGAAGATTGGTGCATCATCAGTCCTCTACATTTCAGAGACTGGGGGAAATGAGTTTCCTTTGTAGGGTGTCTAGGCTCTCATTTAGAGATAAGGTGGGGAACTTAGTCATTGGGAAGGACCTCAGGGTAGGCCTTCTATTTCATCACATCAGTTTAGGCCGTTCATAGAGTTTGATGAGCAATGGTGTGATGTATGGCAGATTTACATGTAGCTAATTTTCTGCATTCACCACTGTATTGTGGGTGTAATCTGTGCCAACATCCACATGGTGTAACCAGCTCCCTTGTCCAAACATACATCCAGTACCGCAAACATATCTGAAGTTATTTAACTATTTATTGCTTTGTGGTACTTGTTAGAAAACACAACTGTAAAAAAATGTCCTCAAAATGTCCAAGTTTATGTTAGTATGTATAAGGTGAAAGTTACATATCATATTTCTTTATATTTATTTTATGAAAACACATATTTTCCTTAAAATAACTGTTATTTTTCTTTTCTTTTCAGTAATAATGCCACCTTCTGCTCTCGACCAGCTCAGTAAGCGCATGTTAATTCAAAACCTTCTTACTAAATGTTCTTTTTACATCCTGTTTTTAGCATTGCTCTATTTTCCTCTGTTCAGGCAGGCTTAACATTACCTATCCAATGCTGTTCAAGCTGACCAACAAGAACTCAGACAGAATGACACACTGTGGTGTCCTGGAGTTTGTGGCAGACGAGGGAATCTGTTACCTGCCTCACTGGGTGAGAAACAGTAATGAGTGTCTCGTATCAGCAGTGGAGGAGCACTTACATATTCTTCTTGTGTGGAAGTGGATAACAATGTTTTAGAAGTATGGGTTTAAAAATTCAAATTTGTTGGTATACTCCAGCTTCCTTCCACAGTGAAAGTATTTGCATGTTAGGTTAATTGGTGATTCTGGTTGTCTGTCTCTGTGTCTTAGCCCTGTGATGGTGACCTGTCTAGAGTGTACCCCGCCTTGCACTCTTTCCCCCATGACCTGATAGATGGATGGAAATAGGAAAAAAAAAAATAAGGCTGGAGTGACATTTGCTGTATTTTGTTCACTGCAGATGATGCAGAATCTCCTGTTAGAGGAAGGCGGTCTTGTTCAAGTGGAAAGTGTTAACCTCATGGTGGCCACTTACTCAAAGTTCCAGCCTCAGAGCCCCGACTTCCTGGACATTACAAACCCCAAGGCAGTGTAAGGAGTACAGGCTGAAATGTTTATTTCAACTTTAAATTTTTATTTTTTTGACACTTCATGTTTTAACATAAGTGGTTAACATTCATTACAGACTGGAGAACGCACTGAGAAACTTTGCATGCTTGACAACTGGTGATGTCATAGCCATTAACTACAACGAAAAGGTGAATCAGTTTCTTTAAGTCATTGTTGGGATTATATGTGACCAAGCCTTGTTCTTGGAGAGTTTCCTGGAAGATTAAACATAAAAATGCCTCTAATGAATGTGGTCATAGATGGCTTTGATCAGGTGTTTATATACTCTGTTACAGCCTACATGCTATATATATATATATATGGTAATCTGTGTGTTTCAGATATATGAGCTGCGAGTCATGGAGACCAAACCAGATAAAGCAGTATCCATCATCGAGTGTGATATGAATGTAAGATCCTGGACTTCACCACAGTCACAGTGAATTGTTCTGTTGCTTTATTCGCTCACGTGCTGTTACTTTGCTGTTCAGGTGGATTTTGATGCTCCCTTGGGTTACAAAGAGCCTGAACGACGGCCTAATCACCAGGATGAACCGACAGTAAGGAGCAAACCATCGTGGTAACTGTACGTTTTCTCCTTTGAACAATGTAATAAAACTGTTTTTCTGACAGGAGGAAGAAACAGATCCCAGCAGTTACGCTGACATGGACACAGGCTTCAGAGTGAGTTCAAGTTAATGTGTACTTACTGCTACTATAAGTACTTGAATAACATAATCTGATTTAATCTCTAATCTGTGCTTTATTTTCAGGCTTTCACCGGTTCTGGTAATCGTTTGGATGGTAAAACTAAAGGGATTGAACCCAGCCCTGCTCCCCTTGCCCCAAGTGACATTAAAAGGTGAAAAGATGTCGAGTTTCTTACACATTCCCATAAAAATAACTCAACTGTTAAGTGGCCTAACAGACAAGCTATTTTTACAGGGAATGTTACACCTTTATTTAACAGCGTATTGCAAATTGATGAGGAGAGGGATGACAGTCAACTCAAACTGCTGTTCAGTATATGAAAGCCCCCAAGCAGGAGCTATTATATCTATTAGGCTATGTTAGATATCTCAGACTTGAGTTGAGACATAGAATGTGACACCTTGAGGCACATGAGTTTGTCACGTGATATATTTAAATAAAGTTCTGAGCAGTTTATGTATTTTTTATGCTTCATAAAAACAGAGAGGAATACTGGATTTATGCTCTAAGGCAACTGGGTACCCTGGTCTTAACCCTGAAGCCTAAAGCCTGAACCATAACAGAATTGTCAGAAAAGTCTTTGCTTACCTTTCTTTTTTTTAAAAAAAAATTGGAGTGGTTATTGAACTTTCTGAATGGTCCACACGGCGTTGCACATCTGTGGTGAGTCTTTGTCTCTACAAAGATGTACTGAACACCAACGAAGTATAAAATATAGCGATGTAACTATACATTGGTGTTTATTTTTTAAAGCTGTGACAGCACACAGCCACACCACGCAGACAATGGTTTTCCAAGCTGTTGTGTGTCTAATGTTTCGTCACACAGAGGGATTCCCAACTATGACTTCAAAATTGGCAGGATTACCTTCATTCGAAACTCCAGACCTCTGCCCAGGAAAATTGTGGATGATGTAAGTAATGCAAACAGTTTTCTTTCCTGGCTATTTTTAAAGTCCTACATTTAGTTCTCAAGCCATATTTTTCAATTTTCTTCTGAATCTTCTCAGGATGATGCCATAAACAGATTCATCGCCTTCTCTGGACAAGGGCAGTCACTACGCAAGAAGGGCCGAAAACCTTGAAGAGTTACAAACGAGGAGCCTGACTCATGTGCACAGAGCTATCTTATTCTTTTCACCTTCAGCAGCAAAGTAAAATATTGGTTTTCAGATGCGTTGGTTTTGCCCCTCTGCCCCTTTTTAAATGGAGGTTTTGCTGTTGATTATAGCGTGTAATTAAAAGTCTGACAGTAATATTTTGCTCAAAAGAATCTGAGCAGCCTAAAATACTGTCTGCTCTAATTTGGTATTCACAAATTCAGAGTGACTGATTTTCTGCCAATATCTTATCAAGAACATGAAAAAATGACAGCAAACATCTTTCTTATATCAGATTGAATGACCTCTGACTCTGCGCAGACCCATCTTTTCCATAATTCTTTTTTTATTTTTACAATCCACTTTAAAATGGCTGTTATCCACAATCCCAGTGTTACTGTAAAATGGGAGCTTTTGGTTTTGATTATACTAAGAAAATTTTTATGTTTGAGGGTTTTTTTCCAGACTTTTAGGATTTTTTTCTTTTGCTTTATTTATCAACAAATAAATTTGTTTTGAAATGAATTACACTCAGACCTATTTTTGAGGTATTATGCTCTTTCTGTGACATCACCTGAGTTGAGTATTTATATATGAAGAAGATGATCATTGGATAAACTATTGGAATTGGTGAGTTTACATAAATGTGTAAAATAATGAATGGTTGAGCTCTCAATCAGCAAAAGTACCTACAAATTCAGATTTGAGAAAACCAACATTTTTATCGTTTCAGAAAAAATATTGTTGCAAATAATATATACTTTTAGTTCCAGTAAAAGCAGAATATCTTTAAACAAACTGTGAATTCACAATGACGTTCTTCAGCCATGCACACATTTTTTCGTTTTGATGCTTTGTATAAGTGATACAGAAATGTGCCAAGAACTTTTGTTGTGAAAAATAAAACCGGAAGGAGTACAGTTGCTAAAGCTGTCGCAGCTAGCGATGGACAGGGCTGTGGGAGAAATCGCATGGAGGGTAATTAAACCAGATATTACGTTATTAATTTCGTTACTGATAACTTTTCCTTAGTTAATTTGATTTGCCTTGTTTATGACAAGACTCAAAATAATTAAAGTCAAATCCTGATGACGTAGGTCGCAAGGTGATTAGCTTTAGATGCTAAACCGCAAATGTACCCTTCTGTACCATCTAGCAAAGTCAGACAAAGAAGATCCGAGGAGGCGACGTATATTTTTTTTGATTCACGAAATGCACTAATATCTGGGCTTGCTGATCAAATCTAAAAACAGCATGTGTGTAGTTGGAAAGTCAAATCAGTCACTGACCAAACTGAGGGTCAGCCCATTCTTGATACGACCGCAGAGAGGCGCTGTTTAAATGTTGAACACTTCAGAGACTCAGGTTAAAACTCACCGGCCATTATATTGGGAACGTCATGCTTGTACTGGGTTGGACTCTCTTTGCCTTCGGACCTGCGTTAATACTTCGTGGCTCAGATTCAACAACGTGTTGAAAACATTCTTTAGAGATTTCCAGTTTGGCACGACAGCATCACACAGTTGCTGCTGACAGAGATGTGAGACGAACATCAATAAACTGCTCACCATAGCAGCCAAATGTTGCTGTAGAAATTTGAACTCATCAGATCAGGCAGTGTTTTTCCAGTGCTCTTTTGCGCTGCATAGGTGAACCTGTGCAAACTGTAGCCTCAGTTTCCTGTTCTTGGGGAGCGGCACTCAGTGTGGTCTTCTGTTGCTTCAAGGTTTGACATGCCGTGAATTTAGAGATGGTCTTCTGCATATCTTGGTGGTACTTTTGATAGTCACTGTTGATTTCCTGTCAGTTCGAGTCAGTGTGGCTATTCTCCTTTGACGTCAACAAGGTATTTTTGCTTAGAGAACTGCCCCTCACTGTATATTTCCTCCTTTTCAGTTGCTGCCAGTTGATTGGCTGATTATTTTATTAATAACAAGTAGTTAGACAGGCGTACCCAACAAAGTGTCTGATGTCAGTCACCAGAATCCCAACAGAAGTTTAAAATTTTATTCTGATTTTTGTTTGCTTTGTCGCCACAGCCACCACGGGCATGTGAAGACTACTGGAGCGAGTTTAGACACTGCAAAAGTTTTAAAAACTGGTTTCACTACTACTACACTTACGGTACCGTGCCATCCTGCCAGCAGTGGAAAGAGGACTACCATAACTGCAGAGATTGGGAGAAACACAGAGGCACCGAGGCTAAGGTGGAACAGCAAGAAATTAAAATTTTAAAGTCCTAAACGGGTGACCTCTGTGATCCGCTCCAGGCTGTATAAATACACTCACTCTGTCTGTCTTGCAGGAGGCGTTGCGGAGAAGTGAGAAAATCAGAGTGGCAGAGCAAAGAAACTTCATTCCAGTGTGGCAGCTGAGGCAGGAGCCTCCTAGAGACTGGCACGTGCCACTGAACCAGGAGAAGCCTCAGGACTCCTGAACATCGAGTTTTGACAACATGCTTAGTTTCAGTTTAAGAGCCTGGACATTCTCGTAATCACGAGATGTCATCAGTTGTATTCAGAGAACTGCTGTATGTAAAATGATATATACAGTATGTCTAACAATGCTGGCAGCAGCTAGTGCTCAGCGATAAGGATTAGCTGTTTTATCAGTAAATATGATCCGTTTCCAGACAGGCGTGTCTCATAGGTATTAATTCTGCAAAGCTTGTGTAAACTTAAGCACAAAGACCGACTGCACTCAGAGAAAATTAGCTCTATATTATCCTTATGTTGACAGAATATATAGTCAGTACAGGTAATCAGTGATCTGCTTCATTCTCCTTGAAAAAGGTGAAGAGCCAGGTGTTTGCATGGTACCTGTAGGCCTATCTGTATTTGTCAGCTGCTCAGCAAATGAATTGACTTTAAGAAAGGTTAATGATGTAGGTATATGGGATGTTTAATCCTACTGAAAAATCGAGATGACAGAATTCAGAGTTGTGTAGCAGTTTTCTGCCTTATAACATGACATGTTCAAAAAGATTCTGAAAACTGGATCAATAAAAAGATTTATTCCATTATTATAGACAAATATTAACGTGACACAAACTCACTGTAACTCTCACACAATGAATGACAATGAAGGAATAAAGACAGTGTGCTTAAAAGCTGCATTTTTGCTTAGTGAATAACAGACACACTAAACTACACACAGCTATTCCTCATTTATCACTGCGTGTAAACTTTAGTGATATCGTTGTATTTCCCATCAGGGGCGTCATAATTGGGTATTGCTGGCGTATATGCGGGACCTTCGTGAACAAAGGGAATAAGAAGCGGGTCAGGCTTCAGCGCTGCCCGGTACAGCTCCTCGGACTCCAGCTTCAGCTCCTCCAGTGCCTCCCTCTGTGCTTCCAAAGCCAGTTCAACAGCTTCCACTTCAGCCATGTGCTGCTTCTGCAAGAACAGCAGACAGATACAACCCACTAAGTGCATGAGATGTAGAGCCGGGGTCAGATGTAACATTTTCCATAAAAGCTTTAGTGACGCAGGTGCGATAGGTAAGTGGTAACCTGTTTGTATCGACACCACTCCTTCAGCAGCAGGGCTCGACCCTCACTTTCTTCAAATGACAGCCTTGGAGCAGTGCGTTCCCTTAGACAGAGAATTATGAACATCAATTTAAAGGACTTAAAAGCCCTATATCCAAGAAAGGTATTCAAATGAGCAATTTAAAAGTTTCAAAGCTGTTTTAATGTCCCAGAGCTTCACTGCAAAAAGACTGATAAGACCAACAACACATCAGATAACAATCATGTCTCAGAACTTCAGCCACCTTTTGCAAAGGCAATTTCTCTGCGAAAATGAGCTGTGGCTGAGGTGGTCGAACTGGTCATCTAGCAAAGCAGGCAAAGAAGTCTGTGATTCCTCCTGCCAGCAAAATGTTCTTGGCAAATTGCCCCTAATGCACCTATTGGAGTGTGTACGAATGATGAAAAATGCTTCGGGGTAGATAAAACTGCATCTGATGGGTTAAATGAGACTTGTAGAATTGTAGTATAGTAGTATTTACATTATCTTGACATAAATAATGTTTGTGTTAACACTCCTGGGGCATTATTGTCAAATCCATTCTTGACCAGTGAGATGTCATGAATAATAAAAATTCAAAAAAAGCACACAATAAGTGCTTTTGACTTTCTTTTTTTTCCATTTGTGTGATCCAACAAAGCTGATTTTAACACATAATATTAAAATAGTTCTTAACTCTGATGTGGAAAACAGAGTTGACATCAGCTCAGATTTTCTTCATTGGCTGTGGAGGACAGCGTTCTCAAAGGATGCCGTGGGCTGAGCCACGACACATTAATTTTACACCTTGGACTTATAGAGCTGCTTGATCTGTTGCCTGTTTATTTAGGAATAAAAACACATTTCTTTTCCCATCCATTAGTCTTAAAAAATGCCTCTGCATGCTTCTGATGATCCATACCTGCCCAGTAGCTTTAGTTCATTTGCTGACAAGAAGAAATTTGAATGTGTGTTATCACACTGAGCACTATACATTAATGTTTCAATACAAATTTGACCTCATTATTTCAAACGACATTTATAAACATAGACTGAAATGAGCTCCACCTTGTTTCATCCAAGCATTTGGTTGGAGTGATGAAGTCCTCTATGGGGATAAGCTCTGGTGGAACTTTCTCCAGTTTCTTCAGCTTCTTTTTCAGACGCTCTCTCAACATCTGTTCCCTTCTCGGGTCCACTTTCTTCTTCTTTTTTGGCTCAGCTCTTGAATAACACAGATCAAACCTCTATGTTAATATATTCAGCCACAAGATAGAGCTTGCTGAGAAATACTGTTAGCACCACGAACCACCATAACATTGGTGGACTAAGTTGTTCAATTTAAAATATTGATGAAATGACAATTGTGGTAAACCTCGGTCATGACTTGGTTTGTGAGCCTGAGCCTGAATCATACCTCAGTGGAGCAGATGTCTTCAGGGTCATCACTGGTGCAAACCAAGGACTCTGTACAAGATGGTGATGTTCTCCGTACAGAGAGCTGCAAAATAGAGTACGGGTCATTTCTCAAGTTCTCATTTCTCTCAAGTTTGTATATTCTTTGAAGAAGACAGTCTTAAGAGTGCTACTTTTTTTTACTCCCAGTAAAAATCTTAACATCTTCATCTCTGCCACCTTCGGCTCAGTCGCCTGTCTTTTTATTGGTGCCACCCTCTAACTACCATCTTGTAAACTTTCCCTTTCACTTCTGTCACAAATCACCCCTGATGCTCATCGCCACTCTGCCTGCACTGTCTTCTTTATCTCTTTTGTGCACTGTCATTTGCTTTGGATATTTAACCCCAGGTATTTAACCATCCACCGTCACAATTTTTGGCTCCTTTCAGCATCACGAGCACAGCTGTCTGCCTCTCACGTGTTCTGTCTTGCTTTTGACTTTCATTTCTCATCTATCAAAGCATACATTCACCTCTCCAGGCTCTCTTTCACCTGCTCTCTACTTTTGGTACAGATCACAATATCGTCTGCAAATATTATGGTCCACAGAGACTACTCACTGACCTAATCTGTCCATCTTCATTGCAAACAAGAAGGGGCACAGAGCAGATCCCTGATGCTGATCCAGGTCCAACCCATCTGTCACTCCTACCGCACACTTCACCACTGCTTCTCTGTCCTCATGCATGTCCTGCACAACCCTCATACTTCTCTTGGCACCCCATCATATGCTTTATCTAGATGCACAAGTGCACAGTTCAACTCCTTCTGACCTTCTCTATACTTCTCCATCAACAGTCTCAAAGCAAACATCGCATCTGTACTCTTTCTCAGCATGAAACCATACTCTCAACAACTGCATCCCTCTGTAGTCACAACAGCTCTGCTCATCACCCTTGTTATTGAAAATCGCTATAAGCACACTTCTTCTCCATTAAAGCACCGAATAACCTTAGCTATATTAGCTCCACGCAGCTAACGCACTTCGTTCACATCGTACATCAATCACTCACCTAGACGGCATGGCCTGCCGCGATAAAACCCTGCAAAGACATCGCGAAAGAGCCAAAGACATGTTTTAATTACGTTTCTGTTTCCTCCTTTAACTCAGTTTTGGGTCCAGGACAACAAAAATTCACATGTCGTCCCCTGGAGTGACAGCCCCCCCACACATGTCGCTGAAAGATGACGTTTCAAACAAGCGGCTGCACACTTCAACGTGCGCACTTTCGCTTATTTAAAAATCCTGGAAATAAAATCAAAGACAGATATTGGATATATTATAATCCGTTAATATATTATTTAATAAAACAATAAGATAAACAGTAAAAAAAATAGTAACATTGCGTTGTGTAGATATTTATGTGTAGATATTTTGTTGAATCTTCATGGAGGAGTAAAACGTTACCGGGCTGCAGTATTTGGGGGAAAGGTCACAGTGGTCCGAGGCTTTTATATCCTCCACGCAGCGAGATATCAGCCTAAAACTTTGATCCGGTCATCGCTGGATTGTTGAGTCTGCGCCATGGCACTTCTCAGAGGTAAACACACACCATTCATTTCATTTCAGCAGTAAGACTGCTGGGACGGGATTTTCTGATGGGGCGTTTGAAAGTATCTGGGTCACACTGCTGTGCACAGCGCTTTAAAAATCTACCTTTTTATTTATTTTATATGCAAAGAAGTCTCGTTTCCACATAATTTAACTGCAATGTAGGCGAAAGGTGACAAGATGGTGGCAGTATTATTTAAACAGCTGCTCCTTGCTGCTATTCAACTCAAAGCTGTAAATATGTATTTGAACATTTAATCAGAAACCTTTCACAACTTTGAGGACACCAGTTTGCTTTTGTTATGCCCACACTTTTTTGGTTTAGAAAATTACAGCTTTCAGCTGTAATATTCATGTGTGCGAATATTATAGCTATAAGTATATGCTATAGCATGTGCTGTGATGCATTTACTTAAGGTGAAACCGTGCTTTAAATCTGTTTTAATTATATGTTTAATAGATTACAAATATACATTTGTGCCTCATACATTAGTTAATTTGCATTATTGTGTTTCCTGATTTTGCTATTCATATTTCTCCATATTATGTGTTTATATATGATCGAGAACAGAACATCAAAAAAGTTGGGTAACAGTATTTAATTTGAGTTATTCGTCATATGGCAATTACATCATGAATATGGAGTAAATGTTTAAAGAAATTATCTATAAGGACTTTGGATTACTGGTCATTGAGCCATTTTATATGCATCATATTAGCAGCTCCCAACATTTTTTTCCCCATCTTACATGCACAGCCATTCAATCACTCCCTTGAGTTATTATTCCGTTTAAACACTAAGTAATTATCCACAAAAGTATTGATAACCAAAGAGTTTCAACAGCTTGTCACTACTGTTGTCTAATGAATCACTTATGCAGTCCTCTTTAATACTTTCTGCTGCAAATTCATTACGTTTAGTTTATGTTTAACTTTTCTGCTTAAACCTATCAATTTAAAAAATGTAAACAAAACGACTAGTCAGAAAAGCTTTATAGTGGATTTATAAATAAATACAGTTTTATTGATTCACAAATCTCTGCGCTCTTCTGTGAGTTTGGTCCAGTGCCCCCATTCAGAGTGGAGGGAACATATTACTCAACATTAAACAGACTCCAGCTGTATGCGTCAGGTGTTACTATAATATTTGCAAACTCGATTCCAGGTCAAAGCATCCTGCGTTTCCTGACACGTAGCAGACATTAGTCGATAGTTCAGTGTCCCTCTAAAACTGAAAAAGGTCCCTCAGTGCAACATTTCAAAATAGAGATCATTCCTATTAAGGTACTGTGAACTTTAAACCAAATTTTTTTTTCCTCTCAAAAATGTTGCTGTGACTTTCAGATAAATTTTTGGCAGATTATCAATCAGGCCCCAAATGCAGAAACAGGGAATTTAAAAAAAGAAAAACAAAGAATTGCCAAAGTAGCTCCTGAAAACCTACTTCAGATTAGAGGACAGGTATGAAATGAAATGGCATCACTATTCCTGGAAGATTTCTCAGATCCTTGTGTGCAGATGGGTCTAAATTCCGAGTTTCAGTTTATTCCAAATTTGAATTCTGTTTAAATTTACTCTTTACTTGCTCTCAGACTGTTAAAACCTCACCCGGGCTCCAGCTGTAGTAAGTAAATATTAGCTTGAATTAATGTTTCAGAGACAGTTTTAGATTTTCTTTCAGCTGCTGCTTCAGAGGCATTTAGTCTGAGAGTAAGTTAAAATGAAAGAAACAGAATTCAAACGTAGGCTTTCTCTAGATACAAATTTGAAATGCACTTAGCAAGTAGGCGACAAATAGGCGAACTGTTTTAGAATCATTCATTACTATAAAACAAATGTTCTACATGCAAGAATAAGTTACCAGCAGCCAACATGAAGAAATAACAAAGTTGCATCTAATAATTTATATTTCTTACTGATCCACATGGAAATGGATCACATCTTGGAGAAGCCCACGGCTCTCCAACGGGAGATTGAGAGACCAGTGTTGGACTGTTAGAACAGCTTTGAAATTCATATGAGTTGTTCGCACTAAAGTAAAAACCACCATCACTTCATGCGGATACCCCTTTGGCGCCAGCTGCGGTCTCAAGGCTGGAGCTGAACAACAACACCTTGATAACGACTGTGTTTAGACTGTTCTTCCCATTCTATGCAAGGCCACCTGGGTTGGCTGGTAGACTGTTTACTTAACCTGGCAGGGCGAAGGACACTGTGTCAGCTGAACTCTGGACACGCACACACATACATATACACTAATGTGCACACACTCATCCCCCTCCCTTTCCAAACGCCTTCGACGCTTGTTCCCTCCTGGGGAACACGGCGGGTCTGAGCCCGCGCTGGAATGGTAGCGCTGGGCAGGATGGCTGCTGTGTTTGCTTCGGATTACTCCTCACCCCCCACCCGACCCTGTGGCTTGCCACGTGCTCCATAATGTTGTGCTGTGGACATTTATGTGCTTTTATGTGCAGAGGAGTTTTTCTGTTTCCTGTTCTCATGCTGTCCTCCCAGGAGCCCAGCATGAGTAGAGGTCTCTTTTTTTCCTCTTGTACTTTCCCATTGTAGTGTATATTTCAGTGTTTTTTCTGTAACACTACTGATCTCCGACCTGTATCCCCATGTGATGTCTGTGTTGTGTGTGTAAGGTCGGGGCGGGGGGTCCCATTTCACTGCAGGGCAACCTGCACGTGGTGAATAAAGCCTTGGTTGATTGATTGATTGATTGAAACAGAAGGACCAGGTTTCAGGAATGATGAGCAGCAAATAGAAACACGGGGAAGACCATGGCTACATGTACTCATCAGAAAACTAAACATCAGAAAATACAAATAACAAATCCATACACAGCAATGAAGCAATAAATCAAAGTCACTGTCAGGAAATAAAAAACAGAAACATTATAGGAGAAAACCTAAACAGGAACTTTAATTTGAATACATCAACAAAGAATTGAAAACAAGAAATCAGACGCAGCTTTATTTCAACACCCTGTAAATCATGTCGCTTTAGTGCTAATTATCCCTTCACAAATCTTCTCTCTCTGTTCGCGCTACAATCTGGCTGTAGCTCAGTGGTGGGTGGTGTTAACTCCAAACTAAAATGCTCTTTTTTCTTAGGTGTATTTATTGTAGCTGCCAAGCGTACTCCATTTGGTACCTATGGTGGAGTACTGAAGGATCACAGTGCAACAGACTTGGCTGAACATGCAGCCAAAGCTGCCCTCGCTGCAGGGGGTGTGGTCCCAGAGCTTGTAAACAGCATCATCATGGGAAATGTCATGCAGGTACTGATCACACATACAACACTGAAAGGATTCATTATAAATGATCTGACTACTATATCTTACATTTTGTTTCTGATCCATTTCCCTACGTTCAGAGCTCAGCTGATGCACCCTACATTGCTCGTCATGTGGGTCTGAGGTGTGGCGTACCCATCCCAGTGCCCGCTCTCACCGTGAACAGACTGTGTGGATCTGGTTTCCAGTCCATCATTAATGGCGCTCAGGTAAGCACTAAACTAACGAAAATAAATCTATCAGACCCATAAAAGAGGAATTAGCCAAAGCAGAAAACAGTGTATTGAATGTTTTCCTATCAACATACAAACAAGGAAATTGATTTTAAAAAGTAATAACAGTGACACTACGAAGACAAACGGGAAAGTGAAGCCAAAATAGCAGAAGAATGGAAAGGTCAGAGTGGAAAACTGCAGTTTCACGTATGTGGACGGAATTTGGGTGGAAAAATGCAAAGTTTTTTTAATTACAGAAAGACATTAAGGTGTAGGAACAAATTGTTGGAGGGTTGGTGGATCATCAGTAGCTTATCATTACCATTTCCTTTGGGAATGTCCAGAACTTCAAAACTATTTTGGAGTGAAATCCACAAACATTTGAGTGCTGGTTGATGTGGTGAGTTAGTGAGATCCTCAGTACAGCACATTCAAACTAAGGAAGAAAATACTTAATGAGAGTACTACTTTTTGCAGGGAAAAGAAGCTCTGCAGCTTCTCTGTAAGGAGAAGAGTGAGTGAGTAAGATAAAGCAAAATGTAAGAGGTGGTTTCACATCAGCCCGGTTTTATGATAACTCCAGGAATCTATAAGTTTCTTACTAGGAGTAGAGATAAGTGAGGTTGGAGGGTGGGGCACTGGTTGTGGACAGGCAGGTAACGCGAGATGGAAAGGAATCCTTGTGGTGAATGCTTGTTTGAAGGTAGCAGGTGAGCAAGCTTAGGGAAGCCCCTTAAATACCAGCCACTGATGAGACTAATGAGCCACTGGTGTGCTCAGAGAGCAGCAGGAACCCGTGCTCTACCCGTAGGGCACAGCCTGCATAACCCATCCAAGACCAGAGAAAGACAGAAATGACCGAAACACAACAACCCAGTGCTGCACTATGACAACTGTAATTCATTGGATGAATTATTTGCCGATTTATTTTCATTCTGTACTGTATCTTCCCAAATAAAAAAGAAGATTACAAGTTTCTGATGTATGTTAGGGGAAAGTAACCGAACTGATATTTTTAAGTCAGCAATATGTGCAAAAGCCACAAAACTATCAGTAAAATGATCATTATGTATTTTACCCTTTTTCTGCTGGTCTAAAAACAAAAAGCCTGTTCCCCTTTGTGTTTGTAGGAGATTTGTCTCAG